TCCTTCAGGTCGTGCCTCTCTCCAATGTCAGAGTTCAGTGATCTCACCCTCATTAAACCCAGCAGCACAATGGATTTTAAAGAGATGGTAAATGTAATTGACGCATCGTTACCAGACAGCGCCTGGACTTTCGAGAGCCAACAGGTGAGCACATATACAGAGCTAATTTAACTCCCGGATAGCTGCTGAATACGGATTAATGAATCTGATTATTTTGTTTAAGTTAACGATTCAGTTAATTCCATTGAATGTTGAGTTTTGACTAATTTCTAATCATATCGAAAACTCCCCCGACAGCGTTCTTGCGCCCTCTGCAGGGGAGCAGCATTTCCGTTTGAACTGATCGATTTCAATTGGTCATTTTTTTCTTGCATTACTTTGCATTCAGGTTCGACTAGAACTTTTCAGATGGTTTACGAAAAGGTTTGCTTGGGATGTACTTCTTATGATGAAAATCTTTACGCACTGCACGCTGAGCAGGATAAATGTTTGGAAGATGTATGTTTGGATGGATGTATTAATCGGTAGATGGACGGCAAATATTTACCAGCAAAATTAACAATTCATCTAATTTTATAACCCCCCCGTCTATACAAGCATAGCTGACAAATATCGTAGGCCAGTATTTATTCTTTACATCATCACAGTGCTCACCATCTATTATTTGAAGCAAATATTACATTTTTCCATCATATATTTTTTAGAGTGTTTTCAACTGTAGCCTTCAGATTTAGAGAATATGATTGAACTACAAGATGATAAAGTGGTTATTAGTTGTTCCAAATGAACCGAAAACTGATTATTAGAAATGTCAGAAATGCTACAGTAGACTAAGGTCATTAATTTTCTAGCCAAGTATCCAGGCCTCGGAATGTATTTCAGGCAATGTAGGGTATAAGACACGAGAACGCCCTGAATAAAATGACGATTTATCGCAACACACATGGGCAATTCAGCGATGCCCATTAGCTTACATGGCTGTCTTTGAACTGTGAAACAAAACCTGTGCAACACAGAGAGAACATGGAAGTTCTAAACATCAAGAACGGGGGGGTTCAAACCAGGGACAGATTATGGGTTGTGTGGGCCCCTGGGCGAAACGTTCGCGAGGGGCCCCCACCCCCACCACCACAATTCAAGGGCCCTTGGCAGCCAAACGCCCTCCCTCCATGTTTCCATTAGAGGCCCTATAGGGTCAGGGGCCCTTGTAGGCAGAGGATCAAAGAATGTAGGCCCTCTAAAATAGACAAACGAAAATACATTGTTGATAAGCGTTGCAAA